AGGCTGTTCTGCATTCCACCTGTGGGGACCCTGCATTAGTAACATTCAGGGTTACACAGCAGCTTCTGGTCCGTTCTATCATCTGATTCCCACAACAAATCCTGGGCGCCAGCCTCGAGAGGTGAGCGTCACCTGCAAACACTGTTTGGACAGTGGACTTGACCTTTCACCCCTCCCACCTTCACTGGCTCACACGGATCCTAAAGCTTTGTGGGACCCTGCAGTCGCCCCAGTTAGGTCTTGACACTGCCTGTGCTTTCTGGAGTGCAAGTGAACAGTCACCTAAGAGTGATGTGGTCAGTGCCCTGGCACAAGCACAGTGCATCTAACTCATGCCCATACCCACGCGTGCACACACACACACACACACACACACGAGTGTATTTTATGTACATACGTACATACATGTGCTCACACAAGAGTGATGTATTTAATCTGAGTCTTTACCTGCTTCGTGCAGCTGGAGTGTTTGTGTACCTGCTCTGATCAGGAGTGTCAGTGCATGTGGCACATCTGGCTCTGGGGAGTTCTGCAATTCGCCCAAGATGCCACAAGCTTTTGCTGGGAACGCCCCCCACCCCCACCCTACATCACACCTGTTAGAAATCAGCCATTCTTACGACTCTGGAGTCTGGTCACTGCGTTGTTTATAGACAAGCAAGTTTTCATTGTCAGTGTGACAAGGACATTCGCAGGGTCTTTCAATAAGGCAGACTTGACTTCTTCATATCTTTACTTAAAATTTTTGTGACACTCATTTCTTCTCGTGTGAGGGGCATGCAGGCCCTGAGGCACCTATGTGGGGGCCAGAGTCCAGCTTGCAGGAGTTGGTTCTCCCTTTCTTCCACGTGGGGTATAGGTACAGAACTCAGATCTTCAGGTTTTGTGGCAAGGGTCTTTACCAGCTGAGCCATCTTGCCTCCCTTCTCTGTTTCTTTCCAAAGACAGAGAGCGACTCCCAGCTCCCATGGCTCTTTAGGGACCCATTCTTCCACAAACCCCTCATCTTTATTTATAAAAGGAAAACATTTAAAAAAAAAAGTTTCTCTAGTCTCCTCTTAGATCTCCCTGGGCCCAGATTGAGTTGTTCCTGTGAGACTCTGGCTGGGGAAGATGCTGGAGTTCTGATCATTTGCTGTGGCAGCTTTGCCGGGGGACCAGGGCGACCACCACAAGCTGTGCACAGGCTGACGGGAAGGTCGGTACCTGCTCCACGTCTAGCCCTCACCCACCAGTTTAACCAGAAGAGTTTCTCAGGTAACACTGGACTTTAAAGACAGAATTTTAAAAAAAATGTACACTTCTACTTATGCTGGCATTGTGGCTCAAACTTAAAATTTGGGTAGCTGAGGCAGGAGGATTGCCATGAGTTCGAGGCCAGCCAAGGCAACACGGTAAGTTGTGAGCCAGGCTGCTGGGATACAGTGTAAGAGGCCCTGTGTCAATAGACAATAAAACAATAGGAATGAGCATGGTGGGGAGGCACCCCCCACCCCCGTGATCGCAGCATGATCAGGAGTTCAGCATTAGCCTCAACTAAATAGCAAGATGCAGCCAGTCTGGCCTGCTTAAATGCTGTCCTAGGATGCAGGGTCGGACTGTAAAATCCCTGGCTGAGACTACAACGATATAAAGCGTTTTGACTCCAGAGAGAATTCATAAGCAAAGGCGGCGGTGGCGACTGTTTCTTGAGAAGTGTGGTCTAGTGAGCCAGCTGAGAAAGCAAGGTGGGGGCCAAATGTGTTGACAGAACAGCACACTGCAGAGCGGGCTCTTCCCTCCTCTCCGCAGAGAAGCAGATGTGCTCAGGGACAAGCCTGACAGCAGGCTGCTCCACTCCTCTTTCTGTTGAGGTGCACTCGATCCAGTGGGGACCCCCCACTTCCAGTCCAGAAACATCTCCACCTTTAGTTTCTCTTCTATGACTCTCAAGGATATTTCATTTTCTACTACAGTGTGTGTGTGTGTGTGTGTGTGTGTGTGTGTGTGTGTGTGTGTGTGCACTCCCCTGCCTGGGTGCATTCTTGCTATGGCACGTGTGGGGTTGGTTCTCCCCTTCCTCCATGAAGGTCCCAGGGATTGCGGACAGGTTGTCAGGCTTGGTGCACCTTTACACACACAGCCATCTTTTTGTTCCCTCTGGAGCATTTTATTGCTCTGCCCTAAAAGGGCTTTTTGCCTCACAGTTGTGATTGCCCTCTGCACTTATGACCCTGCTTGGCAGGACCTCAGTTCCGCTGGGTTTAATTCCTCTCCCACACTCATTTCCTTGGATACATTTACATTGAGACCTCATTTCAAGCAGCTCTGGTCAATATTCACTTTGAAATTTGTTGGCCACAACTCACAATAAGAAACATAATTTGCACATGGTCTAGAACTTATTAGATATATTGACATATACAAATAAGCCCATACATAGACATCCCCTCGCTTTAATCCAAACACACTTATTTTTAAAAAATCTTTCCCTAAAAGCATCTCTTCAGTCTGCAACTCTGTATCTCTCATATGCCCCAGGTTATTCCATCAGTCACTGCAGAAACCAAATGGCCACAAACAGTGTCTCAGAGCAAGAGGGGCTGCAGGGGGCCTCAGGCAGTAAAGTGCTTGCCTCGCTCCTGAGCAGGCGTGGTGGACGATGCTTGAGCAGGCAGCTTGTCTGTGTGACTTTCCTCACCACTGCGGCCAGTGACCGGAGTGTTCTCAAGGAGGAAGGGCTTCTTTTGTCTCATGGTTTGAAGGTAGAGTCGCTGTGGCAAGGAAGGCACCTGTCCCACCTGGAGTGAGGTTATAAACACGTACTGAACTCCTGGGTTGTTATATGGGTGCTGGAATCCTGAGCATTGTGACGGCAGATCCAGCATTCTTCATCAGACTCTGGACCATGGGATGGTGCCATCTGCATTTAGGATATGTGTTTACCTTTCTGGGAACCTTACAGACATGCCTACTGATGATCTCAGGCAACATCAAGATTACTATTACAGAGCACTTCTGTCCAGGCATCCAGGACCCAGAGCCCTCTGTCTCCAGACTCCACCTCTCCCAGAGCCCTGTCCTGTCCTTTAGCTACTAGAGCAGCAAATCATCTTTTGCATAAACAATGAGCTTTAAGCCAAAGTCATTCTCTGAGAATCACTCTGAAGCTGGAATCCGCTGGCCACTCAGCAGGGTTCTGGGGATCTGGGGCTGATGGACAGAAAGTTGTAGGATGTCCAAAGGGATCTTAGTAATGGGGTCCCTGCCCAGCACATTTCAGGATCGATGCTGGCTCTCCCAGAGTAACCACCCTTATTTCCTGCAGGTAGAGTGTGCCCCGCAGGGTGTTGAGGCCCCATAAAGAAATCCTGAACTACTGACGCTTGTCGCTTTGTCCGAGGCTGACCCACAGTGTATGAAATTGAGGCCTGCAGGTAGATGAGCAAGAGTCAGATTCACACTGGTGCCTGAGTGCCTTCTACTGTTCATTTTAGACTCTGCTTCTCTGAGCAAGTTAGCCTCCCAAAGGAGGAGGAGGAATAGGAGAGAGAGAGAGAGAGAGAGAGAGAGAGAGAGGCATTCTAGCTAGGCTAATCCTTCTAGTGGGTATTTGCAGCCTTCCTCAGAACACTCTTGTATGAATGGAATGACCGCTGCCTCCCCTCCTTGCCTGTGACCTTCCAGAAAGCCCAGGTACCTTTAGTCAGGAATTATACTTCTGAGAGATTGTGTAACCAGAATGGGACTCACATGGGCGTGGGCCAGTCTGCATGGGAATCAGAGATTTCTGGAACTGCCCTTCCTCTCCTAATGTCTCCCTGTCAGAGTCTGCCCAGAGCATCCCACACACCTCAGCAGAAAGTCCCTGGCCCTGGTCCAGGCTGGCTTGCTCTTGACCTCAGGAGGTGTGAGAAGGAGGAAGGGAAATCTACATTCTGGCCAGAACTTACTTCCTCATTTCTGAGAACCAGCCCAAGCTCTAGACATTCTGGGCTGTAGGTTCTCAGAGTTTCTCAGAGCCCAAGCCCAGCCTGGCTCCTCCAACTGCTTGAGAGGACATGGAACAGACTGGGACAGACGTGGAGTTTATTGTTCCCATGGGTGCTGGAACAATTTCCCAAATGGGTGGCTGTGTACTTCAGAATTCCTATGCTGTTGTCCCAGAGGCCTGAAATCAAGGCATTGGCAGAGCCACGCACCCTCTGAAGGCCCTTCCTGCACCCCCAGGGTTCTGCTGGTGGCCCGCCACCCTTGGCTTCCCTTGGATTGTGCAGATCCATCACCCAGATCACTGTCTTGTTTCCATCCTCTCTTCTCTCCTGATGGGAACACTAACCATATGGCAGTAAGGCTTCTCCTGAGTTCAGCATGCCCTCCTTTTAACTAATTACGCCTGCACTCCTCTTTCAGATGAAGTCACATTCTGAGGCGCAATAGGAGTCTGGAGATATGCTATTCAACCCACAACAAAGCTCCCCTGTATTTCCCATTGGCTCACCCCCTGAACTTCTTCCTGGCAGGCCTTACCCTATGCAGGCGGTCCTTTCCAACTTTCCTCTGAGGCAAGGCAGGCCCAGGAGTGGTTTCCTGAAGTTGAATGGCATTCCCTTAGTCCAGGAAGGTGTGGAGATTAGAAAACCCAAGTCTTCCTCGGGACAGGTGTCCACATGCCCAGGGACACCCACTCAGCCTACTTTCTTGTTCTACAGAGGCTCTTCCAGATTCCTTGGGCTCTTGGCCAATGCCTTAGTGTGCTGCCTGAAGAGAGTGGAGCCCTCCGAGCCCCACAGCAGGCCATCACAGACTAAGATACCTGTCCCATGCAGGAAAGGCCAGCACCTGGCCCCACAGCCCCTGTGGTGTCACTTGGTCACCTGCCTCAGATCTGCACAGCACACCTTCTCAACCCAGCAGCCCGCCTCAGGGACGCTATCATCGGCTCCGTGCTCTGAAACCTGTGCAGGAACGGGGCGGGGGGGCTTCCTGGGGCTCCTGTAACCCAGCTGACTATTTTCCAGGTTACTTAACCAAACTCCTGCAAAACCACACCGCCTATGCCTGTGACGGGGACTATTTGAATCTACAGTGCCCTCGGCATTCTACAATAAGTGTCCAATCGGCCTTTTATGGGCAGGATTACCAAATGTGTAGCTCCGAGGAGCCTACCTCCCAGAGGAAAGACAACCTGACCTGTGTGGCAGCCACCACTTTGCAGGTATTACGTTTCGTGGATGTGCTGAGATCATGAAATAGCTTTTCCCTCTCTCTTTCCTCTTTCTGGTCTCCTCTCTCCCTCTTTTTTTCTATGTTCATATATATGTGATGCTTCAGTTCATTCAAAGCAAAAATCTGTGAGAACCCCCATTACTATACATTATTAATTTTTACAAGTAAGCTATTACTTGATTCCCAAAATGAGTCTTTGCCATGAATACGATGGTATCCGCACACAATGGAGAATTCCCTCGGCACACTTTCAGTGTGAAGCTGCTCACAGGCACACTCTTCCCTGTAGCAGAAATAGCCTTCAGGCCCACATCACTGATAAAGTGCCAGTGGAAAGGGGGGAACCCAGGTGTCTTTCTGACACCCGAATCAGAGGTTATGATGAATTCCCTAGAGAATGCTTCAAGAGACATATCAATAGTCATCTTTTGTTCCTCCTGGTTCACTTCTCTGGATGTAGACAACCATGTTGTTCTCATTTGGAGATATTTTGAGTGGTCTTGGTCGGACTTGTTTTTCTTCTGAAGACTGCCAGGGATAACAACTCCTCCTCCTCTTTCTCTTCCTCCTTCCTCCCTTCTCTTCTTTCTCTTCCTCTCCCTCCTGCTCTTTCCTCCCGCATCTCCTCCCCCTCTTCTCCTTCTTCTCTTTCTCCTTGGGCATCTTTGAGGGAAAATTGGTACATATAGAAGTCAAATCACTGGTGGTTTTAGACTGTTTGTGGCTTATTCATGCAACTTTTTTCAGTAGTGGGGATTAACTGAGCCTAAGATCTCCTACATGTTGGGCAAGCACTATACCACTAGGCAAGCTATAGTCTCAGCCCTTTTTCGTTTCTCAGTCAGTGTCTTGCTAAGTTACCCAGGCTAGCTTTGAACTTGCTCTGTAGTCCAGGTGGGCCATGAACCTCCATCCTGCTCTGTGCAAAGCTGGGATGACAGGCCTGTGCTAGTAAGGCCAACTTTATCCAAGCAACTTATACTCTGTCACCTCAGCTACCTGGCCAAAGTACTAAGTCACTCACTGGCTGGGCTTTATTTAAGGGTGATTTTAATGCCTCTCAAGTTCTTTACAGCAAATGGCGTTAGAAGTCAGCTAGATTATTGGTCAGCATAAAATATGTAGAGGAAGGTTAATTTACCAGAAGGCCTGAGGAGACTTCTGTTATGCTTTTCCTAATGCCCACAGAGAAGAAGCAAAAATTTTAGATGATGCAAATATTTTTCTATTTTTCATATCACTTATTCCTTTTCAGTCCAAAACCTGTAGCATCAGGGTAGTTGTGTCCCTGGTGAACAACTCAAAAAAACGTGTCCGGCTGAGTTCCCTCGACATGGTTTACGCTATGACGAGCAGCAACATGTTTCTTTGGAAGACAAGAGTAGTGTCAAGTGTCAAGTGTCAAGTCCTTGTGTGCCCCACCCTGCCTCAGTTTCTCTCCTCGGAGCCTCCCTTCCAAGAGCCGTAGTCCTGCCTGCCAATCTCCTCCCTCACCTAGCCTAGGTGGCCAGACTCTGCTGCCCCCAAGGGGCATGAAAAGAGCTGGCCAGCAGCAGGAGGGTGGCACTGCCTGCCTGGTGAAAGCATGAACTGCTGGCACTGTGGCATTCTTGCTCCAGCCTGAGGGAAGAGGAAGTTCCATTTAAGCTGACATGTTAGTATCTGTGAACACAGTCCCGATGCCGCTCAGAGGTGAGCCTGCCAGAAACATCTCTGCACATGGCTCTTCCACTCAGCAAGTCCCTTTCCCGTGGGACGTCCCATTACACTGGCAGCTGAGTCAGCCCATGTCCTGAGGGACAGGTTAACATTTGCCAAGGAAGCCACCATGGCGCCTCTCTGCCTTTGCAGTTGGTAACATGGTTTGAACCCAGCCTGCCTCAGGGCCTACTCTGAGGCTGGGATGGAAGAGCCTTACAGAAACACCCAAAGGCTGTGTAATTCACCCAGACCATCAGCCATGCCAGGCTGATGTACATCATCCAAGAGCTGTGCCTCCTACAGGCATAAAGGGACAGATCTTCCTCTCCTGGGCCCCTGAGGTGGTAGGTAGGACCAACATCCTTCATGGAAATATGTGATCTTTGCACTGAGCTGCCATAAGAACATGGTAAGTCAGAAAAGCTTCAAACTCTGCATGAAATCCAGTCCTAAAGTTATAACCAGATTCTTAAGAACTTTCCCCCTTCCGGACTTGGCGTCTCCATCAGAACCAAAGCTAGGACCTGAGTTTATTCTGGGCAGGGCTTTCTTGGGAGCCAGAGCCCAGAGGAGCAGTAAAAAGTCATGGATCATTCTATGAAGCAACACAGAGTTTTCCACAAGCAGAGAGAGAGAGAAACCTTTTGACTAAATAATCAAACAAATAATTTCAATAAAGAAATCGCTCAGCAACAAGGTCACAGGCCCATGCCCTTGAGTTTGTCAAGGGTGAGAATCGTATATATATACACACATATATATATGTATGTATGTGTATATTGGTGGAACAAGTTTGGGTGTTTGAAGCCTTTCCCAAGTTCCCAGGGCCTGTGTGTGGCCATTCCTAAAGGTAAGGAGGTATGGTGATAATTCCTGGCCATCACAGCTCTCTCAGTTTTCAAGCTTGTGACATGATCTCACTCGCACACCCTGGATCCTTTGAGGGGTAGCACTTTTTAAGAGTCAGCCATAGTACCCACTGTGGCTGGCTGGGGCCGACTTTCCCATGGGTCTGGCTCTCTGGACCAGGTTCTTCCTTCTGGAAGTTGCAGAGAGCTGCCTCCCCACCCCCCCCCCCCTGTGCTTTCAAGACACAGCTCAGGCCAGGCAGGGATGCCTCACTCCCTCAGGGACTAGAGCAACCCAGGTTTGGGGTCCAGCAGACACTGTGTGCAGTTCACAAGCCTGTCTTTTTCTGCCTCCTTCCAGAAGGTGCTGGACGAGTGCCAGAACCAGCGGGCCTGCCACCTCCTGGTCAATAGCCGTGTCTTTGGACCTGACCTTTGTCCAGGAAGCAGTAAATACCTCCTGGTCTCCTTTAAATGCCAACCTAGTAAGTAACTTCTGAGGGGGGACAGTTTGTTGGGAATTGGCCCCTAGTTTTGTGGACACTCCTGACCAAAGTCCTCTACCCATCCAACCTCAATCCCTTAACAGGAAGATCAGAGAGAGAGAGAGAGAGAGAGAGAGAGAGAGGCAAGCACGCTAACACACATGTGTGAGCTCATGCTTACAGATATACGAATGTAAAAATCTTTCTCAAGGTTTAAAACTCAATGCTGAAAATACCCACAGAGGGGAGGAAATACAAGTGTTTTCTTTCAAAACGAGGGACAGAATCTGCTTTTCAGAGGTAGCTGAGTTACGAGGCTTGATATCCACTGGGCTCAGTGGCACGGGTTCCAACCCAAGCCACCACCCCACATGTGCGTGGACTGGCTGCCGCCATTCTTGTGAACGCAAGGCATGCTGGAGCAATCTCTCCCATCCTGGTTCTTCTTGTGCTTTCTCCACTGACTTCTGCCATCCATAATCACACAGGCTTTATGGTCAACCTACTGCAAGCACTAAGTAACCATGTTCATGGGGCAGGCCTCATTTCCAGGCTCCTGAGATGCGCCTGCAGCCAGCTGAGAGGACAGGGAACAGGAGACATTCTCTCTTACTTTAAATTAGCACACAAAGTAATGACCTTTTGAAGCCTAGTCGCCTTTCTACCTTCATGGCACATGAATTCTATTACTCATTTTCTTCACTTCCTTAAGATCTCCTTTTTCCCTCTGTGAAGACCTCTTTCTAGTTTTACTTCCTACACCTACACCCCAATACACACACACATACACACACACACACACACACACACACACACACACACACACAGAGAGAGAGAGAGAGAGAGAGAGAGAAATTAGCAGCTAGGGATCTCCCGTGTGGTGGTATTTGTCTTTCTAGCAGGCTTAGCTTGAACAACTTGTTGAAAAGAAATCATAGTAATAGCATGCAACCAGATGTTAGAAATAGTGGTTTTCACAGTTTCCTGTCTGCTACCCCAGGTCAAGTCTTTTATTTTTTTTCATCTTGTTCTCTGTCATTTCTAAGACCCTGTCGTCTAGGCCTTGAGGTGGGGCCATAGGGCCATGTGGAGACCCAGGGCCCTGCTGCTTTTCGGGGAAGCAGTTCCCAGACCCTCTCAGCAGACAGCAGGTTACTCTCCAACATTCTCCCAGGGACAGCAGGAAAGGGATGGAATTAGTACTGTATTTGCAGACACACCCACACCCAGACTTGTATATCAGTGAGCACGCACGTATCCACACACTCATAGCAGAGTCAAGAGACGCTCTCCTATACTTATCACGCACACATTGCCATGGCCTTGTACTCTCTTATACAAACATGCCCACTCATACACGCACCTGCTGTCTCACACTCCCCTGTACATACATGCACACACACACAAACACACACACTTACACACTCACATAATCACAAGTGACCATTGAACATCCCTTTGTGAGGTCCCTCCCCTCCCCTCCCCCACCACATCCCAACACCCCCTAACTGGGCCAAAGACCAGGAACACCACTTCAAGGTCTCTGTATTCTTCACGGGCAGCTGCAGCTTCCTGTAGCTGACTCTGAAAAACGTAATTGTGCCCTTGGTTGCCATTAGATTTGCCTTCATTTTTCTCCACCCTCAGTCCCCACCGTCCCTGATGAAAGCAACTATTCCTTTCAAAAACAGCAGTTCAGATCGTCTGCAACTGGAGAGTGAGGTGATGACAGTGGGGCTACTGTGGACTGGAGATGAAGAGAGCAAGGGTGTGCCCCCCCCAACCTTAACCTTTCCTAATCCTAATCGCAGGAAGGTCCCATCTCTACACACCACAGTTAGGTTGAGTCTTTACCCTCTCGATACTTCCCAATAGGGATTGTACTCCCGGTGTGAGGCTGGAGGAGACAAACCACAGCAGCCTTTACGCTGGGAGGTGTAGGGTAGGTAAAGGTCCACCCCGGCTGCGCCCGAGAGAAACACCGGAGGCAGTGGTCGCTGTGTGACCTGGTCCTTGGCAGTCAGAGGCAGAGTCTCAGAAGGCGTAGGTGAGGTTTTTCTCTCCACCTTTCTGCCTCTCCTTTTCTGCAGTCCTCCCACCTGCGGAGACTCCTCCGATTGGCTAGTCACTGCTCTGCTGTGATCCTTGCATCTAGCCCTCAGCTGCACCCCAGGCTGCACCCCGGAGACATCTGTGTGTGTCTCCCCAGTTTCGTGTTCTGAGAAGTCCACACGACAGGAGCACCAGGGCAGGTGCCACAGCCCAGTGCTGGGTTTCTGGTTGGGTTTCGGAGCTAGTTTCCAGACGGCTGCACTGCAACCCCCTTCTGCCAAAGGTGCCACACATTCCCGCATTTCTCTTCCTTCCCTCCTTCAGGCAATTTGGCCTCAGGGCAGCCTGGCATCTAAGCAGTTCTGGATGGGCAGCCTTCTGCGCTCAGAGCTGCTGTGTGATCTTGGGCAGTGGAGGGACCCTTGCTCAGCTGTGCAGTGAAGAAGTGCCCTTCCCTGCAGGCTGCTGCAATGACACCACGCTGTTTGTAAAACGCTTAGCACGGGTAGAGTTGGCGGAGTCACAGCTGCTTTGTATTCCCATAAACAGACTAATATAGTTCCCATGATGTGCGTGGCTGACAGGCAGCGACACACCCGGAGCAGAGGTGGGGGTGCTATTGGCAGTGTCCTGGGTGCTGGCAATGGCATGGCCCGCTGTCAGTTCGGAGTCTGAGGACACAATCCAAGCGACCAAATGTCCATTTGAATTCTAACATCGCCTTGCATCGACAGCCGTGAGCAAGGCCAGTGCCAAGCTACTCCTGTCCCGGCAGATTGCTGCCCTCCCACCTTTGGCAGGCCACCGCTGAGAGGTGAAAGGGAACCGGTCCCTGGCACTAAGTGAGGCCCAGTCTGGGCAAGACTGGACTTTGAATATCTATCTGTTTACCCTCTGGGGATCGAACCCAGTGAATTTTGAATTCTGTGTTTCCCTGAGCGCATGCGATACTGTCCTTGCTTTCTTCCACACTTAGCAGTGGCTTCAAGCAGCAGCTCCCACATGGGGAGGGACCCTGTCAGGGCCTGTGTGTGGAGGGCAGAGGACAATTTGCAGGAGTCGGCTCTCTCCCTGCAACCTCTGGCTTTGTAGCTTAGGTGTGTTCAATGTATTATGAATACATTTTTTAAAGGAAAAAAATTTTGGTTAAAAAAAATGACATCTGTATTTTCAACTTTATGATTTTTCAACTCACTATGGGATTATTTGGACATAACCTTTGCAGGTCAAAATTCACTTTGAAGTCTGGTTGTCCCAGCTTTCCCTCCTCTGTTTTAGAGGTGCCCTGCCCCTGGCAGGCATTCTCCTGATTGCAAGCGCTCTCTGTGTAGCTCCCATGTTTTGTTTTATGCGTGGATGCCAGTTGTCACCCTCTGACGTCAGGAGAAGCATCGGTGTTAGTGATATTGAACATCTACTCAGACAGAAAAACTTCTGCCCCTCTGGGCTCACTCAGCTTACCGAAAAGACACTAGCACCCCAAAGTCACAGAGCCAGTCTTTTCATTTGGAAAGAGACAAACTTTTCCTTGGATCCAAGTGTAAAATCTTGTGCTGAGACTCTAGTGAGCTGGTCAAGGGTCTTCTAAATATGTACTACCACCAGGCTCCTGTGCCCTGCCCCCTGGTTCTCCCGTGTCAAATGACTATAGAAGGGCGGGTCTGTGAGCATGGACGGCCTGCCTCCTGCTCTGATTGCATTTTGGCCACATTTATATATATATATAAAATCATCTTATCTAGAGGGGACATGCTTCAAGAGGGGCTGTGGACACCTGATGCCACAGATATTATCAAACCTTATATTTACTGTGGCTTTCCTATAGATACACATCCATGATAAAGTTTAATTTGTAAATTAGGCATAGTGAGAGCTCTGTAACAATAATAAGACAAAAGTTGTAACCATGCTTACCACAACATTGCCACCATTAATATTCTTGTATTTTGGGGGCAGTCAGGAAGCAAGATTGGGGTTGTCCGGATATACCTATTTCAGTATTTCGACAACAGGTCTGACAGTTAAAACAATAAACCAAGCGACATACAGGGTGGATATGCTGGGCAAAGACTCAGGTCTGCTTAGAGCCCAGCTGCAGAAGAGTACAGCACAGCTCTGGGAAGGGGGCAGATTAAAATTTAGGAACTGTTTTCTTCTAGAATTTTCTATTTACTCTTTTCAAGCTGTGATTGGTTGTGGGTTTCCTAAAATCACAGAAGCGACCTGCTGGGGGGGTGTTGGGGGGGCTATATTAAAGACCAGCCCTGGGCTCAGCACTAAAGCTGGCATCTTGAGATCAGAAGTGTCTTTCTGCCTGTGACCCACAGTTTGGTCTTTCTGCTTCTTTTCAGCTTTTGGTGAAGAATCACAGGAACTTCCAAGTCTTGGGGAGGTGGGGTTCCTTACTGGAGATTGTTTTCTTTCATGTTTTAATTTTGGAATTTAAGCATTGTTGGTTCTGTCAAAGGTCAGCCAGCTGTCCTAGCTCTGGTGTGGACTGCATATGCTTTTCTGGAAGGGTTCTGGTGAGAGCTTTCAAAACGTTTGGATTCCAACCCACAGTAAGGAAAACATTGTGCTTATTGGCCAACATGACACACACTCACATTAACACAGCTGAAGGATGGTCTTTTGAAATTACAGCAGTGCTTATCTTTATGGAGTGCCCTTGCTGTTTTGGATGATTTCTAATCATTCCTTTCTCTCTTCTTTTTCTTTTTCTTTCCCCTTTCCCTGGAGAGAGGGGGGAGACAGGACTCACTCTGCAGCTTAGAATGGCCTTAAACTCCCAACTTTCCTACCCAGGCTGCCCGAGCGCTGGGATTACAGCTGTGTGCCTCTACTCCCAGCGGCTCTGTATTTTTTAAATTTGCTGGTGACAATGTGCTAACTGGATTTCAAGTCAGTGGGTCTCGGATCACATTTAGGGGAACTTAGTCTTGAGGTATTTGAGGCATCAGGCAGAGTGGAAGATAAATGTGAGCTGAAGGAGGGCCATGAAAAGCAAGAGCTTTCTTTCTTGGGGAAACTGGTTCCTTCCAGACAAAGACTAGCCCAGGCATCTTGTCATTATCCCTTGCTGTCTGTACTAGCTGGCTCTGAAGAGGTAGCCCAGTAAAAGGCTGCTGTGGGTGAGGTTCATTACATCAAAAATGCTTGGAACAGGACCAAGTGCAGGGAAGTCCTCAATATTAATTATCATCATTTAAAAAAATAACTTGAGGTATAATTTATATAGCATGAAATCCACCCATTTTAAATGAACAGTCCAACAACCTTTAGTAAGTTTACTGACCTGTGTTCTTTTGACCATATTCAGCCATAGAACATTGCTGTCTTCTGCCCAAGTTTCCTATAGCTACTCCTTGGTCACACCAAATTATTGTAAAAGAAATGATTACTTTTAAAAAGAAAAAAAACATTGTTGGCTGGTGGTGGTACGAGCCTTTAATTCCAGCTTGTGGGAGGTAAGAGCATGCAGATGTCTGAGCTCAAGGCCAGCCTGGTCTACAGAGCAAATTCCAAGAGAGCCAGGGCCACACATGTCTCAAAAAAATAAACTATGGAAGAGGCAGGGAAGGAAGAGAAAGAAAGAAAGAAAGAAAGAAAGAAAGAAAGAAAGAAAGAAAGAAAGAGAGAAAGAAAGAGAGAAAGAAAGAAGAGAGAGAGGAAGAAAGAAGGAAAGAAACATCATTATTATAAACTCTTATCTGAATCAGCAAGATGGTTCGGTGGTAAAGGCACTCGCTGCCGAGCCTGGTGACCTGGGGCTCACATGTAGAAGGAAAGAACCCGCAGTCTCAGCTGTCCTTATATGCATTGCGACACCTACTCCTACACACATACACACACAGTAAAGTTTAAATTTCTTCTTAAATGGATGGTTTTACCATATGCTGTATATAGATTGTAAAACAAAGACTTTTTGCCTTTGCAGTTCATGAAAATGTCAACTCTGTATGATACTGTAAAGAGAGATTTTAACTATGGTAGCACAGAGATCTGCCTGCCTCAGCCTTCTGAGTGCCTGAATTACAAGAATGAGTTCTCTCTCCTCTCTCTCTCTCTCTCCTTTTAAAACAGGATCTCATATATTCCCAAATGGCCCCAGACTTGCTATACAGCTGGGAATGTGAGGATTATGTCTTCCAGCCTGCACCTCCTCAGTGCTGCGATTACAGGCCTGAGCCCTCAGGTCCGATTTGTGTGGTACTGGGGCTTCATGTGTGCTGGGCAAGCGAACACTCCACCGGCTGAGCTCTGCATGCCCCAGCCACGCTCTGTGTTCTTTGTGAACAAAGTACAGTAGATTCAGACAGTTGGGGAGGAGGTTGTGCAGCCGGAAGCGAGGGCTTGCGGCATATGAGTCTGCAGCCAGCATTTAGCGGCGGCTTCCTTTTATTTATGAATCTTTGTTCTAATGAAGCAGGAGGAACTCCCCCCAAAAGCCTGCTCTTCCCAGGACCTGAGGGGCCCCACCCTGGCCCTAAGTGTGTCAGTGTGATTGGGGTTGGGGGTATTTTCTCTACCCTCTAGTTACTTCCCACCTGCTTCCTGCAAGGGGCCTCCCTCCCCACTCCTGCGGGACTTATATGGTCCCCAGCCATTCCTTCTCAGCGAGGCTCATCTGTCGCTGGTTTCCGCTTCTCCTCCAGATGAACTGAAAAACAAGACTGTGTGTGAAGACCAGGAGCTGAAACTGCACTGCCATGAGTCCAAGTTTCTCAATATCTACTCTGTCACCTATGGCCGGAGGACCCAGCACAGAGACATCTGTTCCTCCGCAGCGGAGCTGCTGCCCCCCTTTGGTAGGTGGTCTTATTTGGCTATAACCGGGCTGTTGTCTGAGTAGGTTGTGGTCCTGGGTCTGCTGTGAAGTGTGGCTCTTACCTGCAGGAGAGGGAAAGTCAAGGATGAGAGCATCCTTTTCACCTTAATGGCCTCTCTGCCCCCTAGTCCTGAATCCATTAGCACTTCTGTCATTCTACAGGGAGCAAACAGAGAGCACCTGCTGCGTTTGGGGCCCTGTTCTAGGCATTGTGATCTACCCAGTCATAGAGGGACCTTCCAGCAGGGCACAGGGAGGCATAAGAAAGGAACGGACACAGCTGGCTCCATATGCATGAGCTCTGCAACTGTGGGTTTACCCAAGCCCAGACTGGGAATACTCAGGGGAACAAGTTCCTGCATTGAACAGGTGCAGGCACATTTCCTTTGTTCCCAGGAGTGTCCATCTTGCCGGCCCTTGGTGACAACAGCTATGAAAAGGGCCCGCACGTTTGTGGACCTCAATGCTACATCACAATATCAGAAGATTGTTTATAAGACCTTCTATAATATTCCATATGACATATAACATATGATATAAATATGTATTGTGCTGTATTGTTGCCAGGAGCACACGCCTTGAAGGCCTCGTGATGTTTGGATGTAGCTTGCATGCCTTGCAAGGTTCATGCACCAGAATTCAATCCCCGATGGGCATTTTTCCATATTAAAATGATGGAGACTTGATGTCGCAGAGGCATTTAGAGGGGTGAGCTTTGGGGGGATTAGATGTTTTCAGTGGGGAGCCCCCATGACTGAACCCTTTAGAAGAAGAGGGGAGACCAGAGGAGACCTCTACAGACATTCCTGTCTCTGGTTATGTGGGACCCTGTGCTGCCTGGAAGCCACCAGCAAGAAGGACATCATCAGATGCAGGCTCTTGACCTTGGACCAGCGCCATGAGCCCCCTTTCCCCCTTATAATGTTATTCAGCTGGGGTATTTTGTTACATTAAAACAAAACCCAGAAAACTAATTCAGAAAATCTGCACTGGGAGTCAATAGGGTTATTACTCTATCTATGTCCGGGAGGGAGGAAGTGGCTTTGAAACTGGTTAATGAGCAGAGGTCAGAGGAGTCAGGAGGAATGGGCTGGGAAAAGTTTATATTGTCAGAAAGCAAATGTTACTGGCCAGTTCTGGGGAGGGTTCAGAAGAGACTAGTGAATTAGCCTTAGATGGAAACGGGGAGCCTCTTAGAAAACAGGGAGAAGGTTGTTCTTATATGAAGTTAGCAAAGAGCCCTGCTGTGTGGTGTGCACACCCTAAAACCTTGTGGAACACCACGTGTAAAGATGGTGAGCTTGTTTATTGGGCAAATGAGATTTCAAATCAACAAAAGATTCTCGCTGCTACATGGCCGTTGTTGGCTGCTTTTAGTCAGATTTATAGCAAAACCCGGGACCAAAGGGAAAGATCTGAAAACCTCTCAGTCTGGCCAAGGAGGGAACAAAGAACAAACATGTAAAGGTGTGGCTAGGGAGATTAGTGTGGACGGAGGCCAGCCAGTTTGCTGTGATCAGAACGCCTGGAAAAAGGCCTGGAGCCACACGGCCTGGGTGTAGCTCCTATGGCTGCTAGCCCTTGGCCTCCAGGCCGAGCTGGCTCTTCAGGTGTGCGGTTGTGGCAGCACCTGAGGTTTCAAAGAGAAACTACTGTCTTAGCATGCTCAAAGTGATCTGAGAGAGGGAGCCAGCCTTCTTCCATCATATGTGTGATTGCCAAGTGGGTCAAAGGCAGCTGTGAGGGTCCATCCCGATTGTCTGTTTATGTCTCTTCACTGCTCGCTTCCCAAGGGTGACTGATTCAGCCCCCTCTCTTTGATGTCTTCATGCCTCCAGCATTAGGAGAAGGGGCGTGGCCTGGGCCATCTTAGGAACCTTCTGCTCCTAGGCTTGTCATCTCCAGGCTGCCCAGAGGTGTCTCTTTTAGAAGCGTTTCTGTCACACTCTTACTGGCCCTTGGGGTGTCATTGGTGATGTACATTCTGTCGCCGGACAAAGGACCCTGAAGGCCCTTAGTGGCAAATAGGCTCTTTTTTTTTTTTTTTTTTTTTCCTTTTAGCCTTTTTCTGTTCAAGAGAGGATTCACACGCAGGACGCCATGGGTTCTGTTTCATTATACATTCTCCTGTGCTTCTTCCCCGACACCATTTCTCTTTAAAACATTTTCTACATTTACCTATTTACCATATAATGGTGCATGTGTAAAGGTCAGAGAGCAACTTGTGGGAGTTGGCCCTCTCCTTCTGCCCAGGTGGGTCCCAGGGATCAGACTCAGGCTTGGGAGCAGCTGCCTTTACTTGCCTGGCCTCCCCACCGGCCCTGCAACACTTCTTAAAGCAGGGGAAGGGAAGCCAATTTCTCAGGCTTACTAAATCTAATGTGCGTCCCAGCTGTTCCTTTGAGCACACAGATTTTCAGCCTCGTAAGCAGATCTGCTGGCTGAGTGATCCGTGGTCACCAGGTAGCTGGTGACATTTCAAGGAAGCTGGAGAGGAGTCACATTTACATGGGAGAAGTCACCCAATCAAGTGAAGGGCTAGGCCCCAGGTTTCCCTGGAGAGCTGGAGGCATCCTCAGGGCAGCCCAGTGAGGTAACATCCCACCATCGATTACCTGGCCAGTGCGGGAAGATCTGTGGCTTGAAGGGACCCTGGCTTAGCATATGGGAACAATGGGTTTATGCTCTGGCCAAAGTAAACTGTTGCCCCTGTCCCTCAGCAAGCTGTTCTGCACGTGCAGCGATGAAGATGAAGCTCCTCACTGCACTAATGACCCCCAGCCAGCACACCGGAGCCTTTTCTTTTCTCTGTGCTTTGCCATGGGAAAGGCTCAAGGGGGAAGTCAAGGCTCTTGAGGACCAAACATGGAAACCTCGAGTCCATACTTGTCCCTTGGGTTGGAGCCATGCATGCAAAGACACAAACCTTTGGGTTGGGGAGAGGGGGTGGTGGGAAAACTATTTGCTTTGCAAGTTTGAAGTCCTTAGAGGACCCAAATTCTGGTCCCTAGCAATCACATAAAAAAAAAAAAAAAGTTCAAGTGTGGGGGTGTACCCTGAAATCCCAGTACTGTGAGTCGGAGACAGGAAGGTACCGAGCATTTGGAGACAGCTAATCTAGCAGATTGAGATCTAGATTTAGAGAGAGACTTCTTGTCAAAAATAAGTAAATAAGGATAGAGAACAAAAGATGAAGACACCTAATGTTCACCTCTGGCCTCCATCTAAGCATGCATCTCTCGCACATACAAATACACACACACACACACACACACACACACACTCTCTCTCTCTCTCTCTCTCTCTCTCTCTTTATTTATTTATTTATTTTTAATGTAAAGCTATGAACTGTGCTGGAGAGATGGCTCAGTGGCTAAGAGCACTTGGTGCTCTTGCAGAGACCCAGGTTTGGTTCCCAGCACCCACATGGTGGCTCATGACTACATGAAACTTCGGCTCCAAGGGATCAGACAACCTCTTCTGGCTGCCCCCACCCTGCCGCCACACCTTCCTGGTGCTCATGCATACATGCAGGCAAACACTCACATTGGTAAAGTAAAAATAAGTAAATCTTTTAGAAGGCACAAACCTTTGCTGGCTGATACTTTTGTCAAGCTGGATGCTAAGAGAACTTTGGTAAAATGCATCATGGTTGCTGTCCGCACCTGGGAAGTATGCCCTACAAACTCATCTGTTTGTCCTTTTGTATAAAGTTTAATGTCACCCAAATAACAAAACACACTTCCTGCTCCCCAAGTGGCCCATCCACCTCCTCCCTGGTCCTACATTCCCCTCCCTTCCCCAGTGACAGCACATTCCCAGTATGGCCTCTTGGCTCCCAGCCCTCCCTGGGCATCTCTCACTGGACCTTGGGGTCCCTCCTTTCTCCACTGAGCAACATCTGGAGGTTTCACTTAAGTTAAGGAGACCACAGTCCCGCTGTGTAAAAGCCTGCTCTCTGCCCATTGTACGTAGACTTAGAAGCCAGCTGTAGTCCTGTTTCTCTCTACATCTTCCCTCACGATCTCTACAGCCTTCTGTGCCCTTCCATACTCCCAGGCCTTTGCATAATGTGGTCTTTTGGATGTCACCACATTTTTGTGTGGCCAGCTCTGTCATACTTCTTAGGTGTCATCTAGAATGGCTCCGGACAGGTTTCCCTACCATCTGCTGGAACAGGGTCTTGTTGCCAACTCCGTCTTCACGACGGAAATCTTCATGTCAGGAGTGGGAGGCTCATCCTCTCAGAGGCTGAGCTCTGCAGGGACTGTGTCTGTGGGATTCTCAGAGAAGCTCCTGTCACAGGATGGGTGCCCTGTGAACCTTTGGTGGGTGAATGAATCAGAGCCCCTTGTAAGCATGGCATGGTGCCTTTCCTTGGCTCTGGGTTGCAGGCTGGGATGTGAGCTTGGTGTTATCATAGCCTCTAAGCCTTCCAGGAATGCTGGAAATCCAGGTTTTAAAAAAAAAGTGAAATGTTCCAACTTTTAAAACACTGAACAAGCCAAAGAAAACATGCCTACCAGCCACATCCGGGCCACAGGCTGCCAGTGTCTATGTGTGTGTGTGATCTCCGTTCTCTGTTCCCAGCCATTCCCGTGGCCCAGGCACATGGCTCTGAAGAAGGGAGAGGCACATTTGGCCTTTACTCTAGACCTGGTGTGGGCTCAGATGGATGCACACTCGAGAGCTGAGGGCTGGTTCTCATCAGGGGCCTGTGAAGGGGAGCCCTGTGGTTGGCTGCCCAGAGCATCTGGCTTTGGAGATTGACTTGTATATTTTCCTATGCATATGAGCTGAGGTCTGGTGGTTTTAGTCAGCACACCCCTCGGCAAGCCCATGCTCTGGTGGAGATGAGGTGGCCTGTCAGGCACAGAATGGTCAAGGACCATTCTGGCCTCCACAGCTCAGCGTAGCTTCAGTATTCAAAGACTGGGAGGAAGATTTTTCTCAGACTTTCTAAGACATCGTCATTGTCTT